ACAGGTCTGTTTAGATTTTCTATCTTTTCATGAGTCTGTTTGGTAGATTAGGTATGTTCAGGAATTTGGACATCAGCATTTTTGAAGAAGCAAAACCAGATGTTTTGCAGAATGTCCCTCAATTTGGATGTCTGGTTTTCTTCATGGATAGATTCAGATGAAATATTCTAGGTGAGATTACTGTTTGCTGATATTGCATCCTGTGGGGCGACTTCTCTCGAGTCCCCCTGAGTGCCACAGACACGAGAATGAATATGACAGAGACATGATGTAATCTGTTTGGGGTGGGGAGAAGTGAGCTGTGGCCAGTTTCTCAGGGGAGACAAGGGCCAGCAGCGACCAGTTTCTCTGAGGAGAAAAAGGCCCCAAGCACCCTCCTCCATAGCCTTTTATTGGGTTTTAATACACAGAAATACAGGGCTGCAAGGATCAAACAGTAGATAACATTTCAAAGATACCTGAGGGCTTTAGAGTCTGAGTCAGTGTCTTTCAGGAAGAGAGTTGCAGAAACTTTGGGAGACATACTCATTTCCTCTCAGACCCTTATCATATGAATGAAAGCACTCTTAGCAGAGCAGATTTCACAGGTTTATCAGCAAGTCTTTGTGATGCCAGATTTTTTCCCCAGGACAGGATGCTCTAGCAAGGCAAGGAGCTGCACCTCTCCCTAACAGGTATTCAGGCTTAAGGGGGTTAGAGCTAGGAAGTTCTTCTCCCAGAAAACATGGGGACTTGGACTTTGACAAAGCCTGGGGGAGAGAGTTGCAGCTCCCCCCTCCCTCCCAGTCCTTCCATGAAGGCCTCCCAAGTAATCAAGTCTGGCTTAGGTTGCCCCCTGCTGTGAGGGGTATTACCTGTCATTGACTTCTAACCAAGCTTTGGGGGCAGGGAGAGGGAACTGAGGCAGCATTTGCTACCAGAGACAGGCTTTGTCTCCTGTGACTAGCATTCTGGAAGTTGTCCCTCTCGCCCTTAGCCACAAGGGATCAAGATACAATTCTTAAAACCATGGCAGAGCGGTCTACAACAGCATCCGCCATAGCTTGTCATGTCAGGAGGCTATACTTCTTTTTGAATCTTATGCCTTCTTTTAGAGGACCATTTTCTTTATTTGTGTTGTATAGCCTCTAGATGTTCCTTTAGTGAGATTCTCATGGGAGTAAATTCCCTCAGTTTTCATTTGTCTGAAAATATCTCAAATATTTGTCTATTTTTGAAAGAGTATCCTGAGGAACACAAATCGAGGGTAAGTTAAAGGGCTGTCTACTGTACATGTTCAGTATCTTCAAGATTCCTTTGTTGATATTGAGTAGCTTATCCTGTGTCTAATTGTTGTTCCTTTGTATATCTATTAGTTTCTGATTGCTGATGTAACAAATTACCACAAACGCAGTGGCTTAAAACAGTACAATTTATGACTTTACAGTTGCAGAGTTTAGAAGTCAAATGGATATGACTGGACTAAAAGTAAGATGCTGGAAGGGCTGCCTTCCTTTCTGGTGGCTCTGTAGTAGGATCTCTTTTCTTGTCTTGTCCAGCTTCTACAGGTGCTTTCATTCTTTGTTTCTTGGTCCCGTCCCATCTTTAAAGCCAACAGTGACAGGTTGTGCCCTCCTTATATCACATCATTGACAGTTTTGCCTCCTCTTCCACATTTAAGGACCCTATGATTACTTTGGGCTCACCTGAATAATGCAGGATACTCTCCCTGTCAAAAATCAGCTAATTAGCAACCTTAATTCCATTTGCTACCTTAATTTCTCTTTGCCATGTAATATAACATTCACAAGTTCCAGGGACCAGGAAATGGACATCTTTTAGAGTCCTTCTTACCATAGTAGGTAATCTGAGTTGTGTCCTCTGGTTGCTGTTAAGATTTCTGTATTTTATGCCCTGGCTGGTGTGGCTTAGTTGGCTGGAACATCATCCTGTGAAAAAAGGATTGTAGATTCAATTCTTACTTGGGGTACATTCCTGGGTTGTGAGTTCTATCCCTAGTCCAGACACATACAGAAGGCAACTGATGGGTGCTTCTCTCTCTCATCATTGTTTCTCTTTCCTCCCTTTCTCTCTCTCTGAAAACAATGGAAGGAAGGGAAGGAGGGAGGGAGGGAGGAAGGAGGGAGGGAGGGAAGGAAGGAAGGAAGGAAGAAAGGAAATATTCTTGGGTGAGAATTAAAAAAAACGATCTCTATACTTTTTAACTTTTTATCACCTACATGGGAAAAATACACATATATGTACAATTAGTAGAGTTGTCAACAAATTGAACACATTTGTGTTACCAGCACCCAAAATAAGAAATAGAACTCCCCAGATCCCCCATCAGGGGCAACCACTATCCCGCCTTCTAACAGCATGGATTAATTCTGCCAACTTTGCCAATATTTCATGTAAAGGAGTCACACAATGTGTACTTTTGTCTGGCTTTCTCAGTTCAAGATATATTTGTGAAATTCATCCATATTGTTGCTTGTACCTGTCATTCATGCATTTGCATTGGTATGGAGCAGTCTGTTGTGTGAATTAACCACAATGTATTCATTGATTTGTTGATGGGTATTTGAGTAGTTTCTAGTGTTTGGCTATCACAAATAGTACTGCTGAAAATTTCTTGTATATGTCTTTTTGAGCATTTATGTTGGGATGTACCTGAAAATGGAATTGTTGGGCCATAGGACATAGGTGTGATTTCCTTTTAACTTAAAGGAATCTTTAAAATATTGTGCCTATTGAATGTATAGATTTCTGTCTTACGAAAAACTTTCAGCCATTTTTCTTAAACTGTTGCCTCTTCTCTCACTTATTCTCTTGAGTTAAATATATGATGTTAATTCTTTTCATTTTTTTTACATTTCTTATCCTCATTTTTATGTGTTCCATTCTGTTTTCTCTGTCACATTCTGGGTATTTTTCTTCACATCTGTGTTTCAGGTCCATAATCCTTTCTTCAATTGTGTCTAATCTGTAATGTAACACATTTAGTGTATATTTTGACATTAATTTTTTTCCATTTCCCAAAATTCTGTTGACATTGAATTTTTTATTTCCAAAAACTCTGTTTGGTCCTGCTGAATATTTTTGATCATTTATTTTTGAATGTTCACTTTTAAATTTCTATCTTTTATTCATATTATACAAACATTCCATAATATTTATCTTTAGTTTGTATCTGAGAATTCCCATACTTGAAGTTTTATGGAATCTAATTCTGTTGCCTCTGCTTCTGCTGACCCTAAAGGTGGCTTTTTTTCCATGAATGTTGTGATGATGTTTGATTTGAGGTAATGTTTACATGACATTAATCTTTGGGAATCCTGGGAGTTGTAGTGGAGGATGCTTTCTGCAAAAAGGATGTATACTACTTTTGCTAACAACTGGGAGCCTACTAATCTGGGACTGCTTAACCTCCTTCCAGGGTACTGGCTTAATGCAGGTATCCATGGTGTACATAGAGAAATGTATATCAGCACATTTCTCTATGCTGCTGATATAGGCATTAGCCTCAGGGTAACATCATCTTTGTATTGCTTAATTATCACAGCTTCAGTTTCACCTTCCAGGTTTTTGTTTTGTTTGGGGGCCCTTGGAAGTATCCATTACTTTCAATGGAAAAAAAATCACATACTGTATGATCATCTGCTCACAGCCTCTAGTTGTTCTGTAAGTGTGGTGAGGGTGGGTTGGGACAACCATCTGCTTATCCGAGTTTCAGGAAGCTATAAACACTGTGTTTGGTCATGTATAATGAACACTTGTTTGCCCAAAGTTTTGAGAGAAAAATAAGGATGTGCATTATACCTGGGTATAGTGAATGTGTAATCCTGTGTATAAAGAGCACCAAAACATGGGTGCACATTATAATTGGCGAAATGTGGTAGATCCCCTGCTTTCCTTCCACACACATCCATACTTTCCTTGAATCAATTTGTTTTCCATCCTGGAGCCAGAGTGACAATCTCAAAACACAGATCTCATTTGTTTTATTCCCCTACTTGAAAACCTTTGCTGCTTTTAAGTCCAGTGACTTCCGTTTCTTTTTCTCTTTAGTCCCTCATGAGATAAAATGAAGTCATACTTATGCTTATGAGAGAGAGACTTACTGTAACTATAATATGCAAACATAATGAGATCCTGTGGCTTCAAGTATTTTTAGATTGAAAACATTACAAGTATATGCCAGATAAACACCTTTTGAGGGTAATATATGTCAGCCAGAGTATTAAGAGTAAATTCTCTGGGCAGCAAGCATGGGGTTTAGCTGCCTCATCTGTGATGTTTATTGGTAAATTGCTCATCCATCATATAGCAATGGTGTAACCTAAACAGAGAATCTTAAGAGTCATCAGAAAGCACAGGTGACTCCAGGCATAGTTGGTTCATGTAGTAGCTGTGCATACTTGCTTTGTCTCTGGAAGAATCCACCTGATATCAGATTTCTCTCCATATATTGATGTGGACATCTTCCTAAGTTTCTCCTCCCAGAGCTGTGACCTCAGAGTGTAGGGGACCCTCCCTAAAGAGGAAAATGTGTGCATGTGTTTTGATCTTCTGGTTCCTTATATTTCTTAGCTCTGTGCTGGAGTCCACTGGTGAAAGGGTGAGTATTCTTTGCAATAACCTGAGGACTCTTACCCAACATTGTGTATTAGTACCAACCACACTTACATTTCTGTTAGAGGTTATAAGATATAGGAACAGGTCATCTATAAATACAAGGTAAATGGAACCAAGGTATTGAATACATTAGTGAGTTGTTCATTGTGTAACCATTTTGGAAGCTAAGAAAACTGTTTTCTGTAGCTTATCTCTAGGGAGATGTTAACACTGGATAGAGAAAAAGGAAATGTGTGCTCTAAGCCATCATCTAGGGAAGGGGAATTGTAGACTGCAGGATTGCCATGACTTCCAGCTTTTAAGACTAGAGTCACGTGGAATGCACATGGTATCTGGTGCCTGGAATTTCCTTTTTTTTTTTCTTTCATCTATTTTTCATGCAGAATTGAGTTGGATAGGTTTTCTGAAGAAAACATGATGTTGAAAAATGAGCTGGGAAGGATTCAACAAGAGCTTGAATTTACACAAAGGACAAATGATACACAGAGGTAAGGGCTCTGTCTCAGTGGTTCCAGTCAGAACTTACAACGTATTACACATTGTACTCTTTATAGAATGAGCTTGGAACATATTGCTGTAAAAAGAGGGATGTGTTCACAGGTCAGCCCCGCATTCCAGAAAACTCTAAGTGGGTAAGTCGTGTGTTCAGACCTCTGACCACACTGTACATGCAAGAGAGGGCTCAGACCTCCTTCAAAATGTTGGCAACCACCTTCATTCCTGAGTGCCTGGTCTCCAAAGTTTAAGGTAGAAAGCATGTGTGTGCTGCAGCACAGTCATCAGCATAGTGAGCAGCTCCAGAACAGGCCTGTTTGTATCTGAAGTCAATATACACACACTTCTTACCCCTACAGAAATACTCCACATTATGCTAAGGGATGGGAGAGACAGCAAGTATTTTTGTAGGTAGTAGTGCTCCTGAGGCTTTTCCGGGCAAATAAAATCTGTTCATTTATGTCCTGATCATAGTTTCAGCTATGCTTTTCTCCAAGATTTGTTTTTGGCTCATCAACTTTAGTGAGTCTGAGTCAGGGATGGGGAAGTAGAAATAGGGAAGGGTTGCAAAGACCTGAGCACTAAAGCAGGAGAGACTGTTGGCAGAGGGGGAACCCAGAAAGCCTGTTGGTGGGTTTCTGATTTCACTATTGTAGCCATGTTTTATCCAGTGACAGTTGGTTGATCCCCTTTTTTTTAACTCCAAAATTGAAGATGAGATCAAGTCTAAAATGCTGAGAATGTGGTGCTGATTATATATAATTGCCATGATGATTAATTAAAATATGAAATCTAGAGCAGGTAGTCAGCAAGTAGTTGCTATCACATTATACCAATTCTGAAATCTAAGAGGTTTTTTTTTCATTCTAGAGACCATTTTTCTTCTCAGTTTGCTGCCATCAAATCTTAGTGGGTGTAAGGCTGTTTTGGCCTTTATTTATGCTACTGGTGTGCTCAAGAGATATAAATGGGTGGAATTGAGGAATGTTATAGAGCATGTTTGTTCTGTAATATTGGCAGTGTCCTCTGGTTCTGAGGATTGGGATCCATATTGGATCAGCAGCAGCAGAAGCAACAGAATAGTAACAGTGGTACCAGGATATAGGGTACCAGGAGCAGGTGTGAGTGTTATGTGGCTACAAATCCAAGGTGCTGATGTTATAATGGCTGGGAAAAAAGAAATAAGCTGGTCAAAGTGATATTGTTAATTTTGCTTCTTCAACAGGAAGGAAATTGAGGTTTTAAAGAGAGACAAGGAAAGGGCCTGCTCTGAAATGGAAGAGTTCAACAAACAGGTCAAGTATTGACACCTGTCATGAAACTAATGCCACCCTCCTTGTTTTTCATTATTTTGAAATAATTTCAAACTTATGAAAAAGAGATAACTTTTTTTCTGAAAGATTTGAGAGTGTATTGCTGACCCATTAACTTCCTCACCCCTCAACATCAGGATATGAATGTTGTGCAAAATCCTTGCCTTAATCTCCTACCTGTTCAGCTTTACCAGATGTCCCATTTGTTCAGAATCATTTAGTCTCCTTCAATCAGTCCATCCTTGGTTTTTAGGACCTTGGCACTTTCAAAGATAACAAGCAGTTATTTTCTAGGAAGTTGTTAGGTTAGTTTGTTTGATGTTTCCTTGTGATTACATTTAGCTAATACATTTTTGGCAGGAATATAAAAAATAATACTGTGTTCTCCTCATTTCATCTTATCAGGGGTACAGTGATTCATCCCATTACTAGTGATTCTTGTTTAGGTAGTGTTGGCCCAGCTACTCCACAGTAAAGTTACTTTTCCCCATGTAAATTAATGAGCATTTTATGGGTGGATACTTTTATATTATGTAAATGTTATGTTCTTCATCCAATTCTCACCCACTTACTTTAGCATCTTTTGTTTCTTTTATTTGTCCATTATCACTATGATGGTGGGCAGTTGGTGACTAATCCCACCATTCCTTTTGTATTTATTAATTGGTACTTCAGTGTAAGAACTTTCTCTTTTGTCCATTAATTTATTCATTTACATCATTATATACCTATCATAGATTTCTGTTTTATTCAGTAGGCTATAATATGTTATCAGCAGTTATTAATGGCTTGTAGACAGCTGTGTTCTCCCTGTGTTCTCACATGGTCTTCCCTGGTTCATGTCTTATGTCCTAATCTCTTCTTATTAGGACACAAGACATACCATGTTGGATTAGGGCCCACTCCTATGACCTCACTTTACCTTAAACACCTCTTAAAGATCCTGTCTCTAAATACAGTTATATACTGTCCTGACTGGTGTGGCTCAGTTGATTGGGTGTCATTCTGAAAAGCAAAAGGTTGCTGGTTCAATTCCTGGTCAGGGCATATGCCTGGGTTGTGGGTTAGGTTTCCTGCCAGGGCATGTATGGAGGCAACCAACTAATGTTTCTCACATTGATGTTTCTCACCTTCTTTTTCTCTCTCCCTCCTCCTTTCTCTAAAAATAAATAAAAATTTAAATAAGAAAATACAGTTATATTCTGAGGTACTGGGGGTTTGGGTACTGGGTATGAATTGTGGTAGGATACAAATCAGCCTATTACAAGTATCACAACCAAGCTATTGACATTGATACAATCCATGGATCCTATTCAAATTGCACCAATTTTACTTGGGCACGTGTGTGTATGTATTAAGTTCTGCACAATTTTATTCCATGTATCGATTCGTATATCCACCACCACAGTTAAGATACTGAATTATTCCAACTCCATAAGGACCTTTCATATTGTTTTTCTATAACTAGACCCACCTCCTTCCTGCCCACCTACCCTAGCCCCTAACCTCTGACAACTACTAATTTTTCCTTCACTTTTAAAATTGTGTGATTTCAAATGTTTTATAAAAGGAATAATACAGAATGTAAGGCTTATTTTCTCATATATCATAACACTGGAGATTCATCCAAGTGGCAGAGTTAGCTTCTTTTCATTGCTGAATAGTATTCCAAGGTATTGATGACCTATAGTTTAATACTCATTTTTCAAAGGATAGCTGGACTGATTTCAGTTTTGTGCTATCACAAATAATGCTGCTGTGTACATCCCTGTGCAGGTTTTTGTATGAACATGCATTTTTATTTCACTGAGATAAGTGCCCAAGAGGACAATTGCTGAGTTATGTGTGGTAGTTACATGTTAAGTTTTTTGAGAAACTGCCAAACATCCAGAGTGGCTGTAACAGTTTACATTTCTACCAGCAATGCTTTCTTCATCCAGTTTCTCCATACCCTTGCTTGCATTTGGTGTTGATACTATTTTATTCTGGCCTCACTGATAGGTGTGTTCTGAGACAGAAAGCCTAGAGGGGCTGGTTCTACTCTAGTAGACTAGTTTCATTTGAGGGCAAGAGAAGAACAGAGTGCTGTGAGTATACTTCAAAATGGTCACTGTATTTGTATAGTCAGGTTGCCATAACAAAGTATCACACACTGGGAGGTTTAAACAACAGAAATTTATTGCCTGACAGTTCTGGAAGCTAGAAGTCCAAGATCAATGTGCTGGTAATTTGGTTCCTGGTGAAAACTCTCTTCTTGGCTTGCAGACATCTGCCTTCTCACTGTGTCTGCACATGGCCTTTCCTCAGTGCCTGTACACAGAGGGAGAGACACTCTGCTCTGCTTTTTCTTCTTTTAAGGTCATAATCCTATCTAATTAGGACCCCATCCTTTGAGCTCATTTAACCTCAATTACCTAAAAGCCCCATGGCACCATAACATTGGGGGTTAGGTTTTCACCATGTGAATTTGGAGGGCATAATTCAGTTCATAGCAGTTGCTTTATTGTCTCCTTGCTTAGAAGCATGGGGCATTTTCCTCTAATCTTAACTACAAGAACCTGATGAGGCTTAGGGTAGTTGGGGGCTTACGGAGACTAGCCTCCTGGGACTTTTTAACTGTCAAGCCAGTTCAGGCACAGCCCCTAGCACTGATCCTTATAGTTTCAGTTTCACGTCCTGTCTCAGGCTCCAGTCATCCACCCCAGATAAAATACAGTTCTTCTTGCCTGTGTCTGTAGTTTTCAGGGTATTGATTTGCCATGTGATGTCATTTTTCTGATGGATCTAAGAAAAGTTGTTGGTTTCAGTTTAGTTACCTTTTTGCTTGTTAGGAAGATGAGACTAATATCTTCCAAGCTCTTTACATGCCAGACGAGAAGCCAGAAATAGTACTATTTTTTTAATTTTGGTTTCTGCATGTTTTTTTAATTTTGGTTTCTGCATGTTAGGACATAGACATACAATGCATTTTCATCTGTTGATCTTGCATCCTGCCACCTTGCAGAGCTCACTTTCTGTTCTATAAGTGTTTTCATTACCTTTGGCTACTTAAATCGCTGGTCCATCTCTGAGATAAATCCCTAGTAGCTCTTCTCTCCTGGCTCACCTCTTCCCATGCATGGCTAATGCGAGGTTTCTGCCATGGAGACCACTTTAGACCACTCATGTATGAGTGTCTTGGCTCCCAGCTTCGGGTGTTTGTTTCCATAAGTGTGTGGTAGCCCTGCTTAGGCATTCTCCATCAGGAGGATAATTTAGGAATTGGTTTAAAATGAAAACTTCAGACTCTGCATTTGCCAGACAACCAGCTTTTTGTGTAAATGACCTATCTGGGAATTTCCTGGGCTGAGAGAGCTTCCTGACCCCTTCACCTGCTTTTCTATAGGACACATTCATAAAAGGATTATAGGTATTTGCTTTCTTTCCCTCAACTTTTGTTATGAAAAACTGTAAACACACAGAAAAGTTGAAATGGTATATACTGTTGAGCCGCATAAAACAACCTTAATCTAACAGTTAACAAACAACTCTCATATGTGCTTTAGTTATTTATTTATATCTCTTTTTATTTCTGTATGTGTGTGTGTTTTCTGAATGATTTGAGAGTAAGTTACAGATATAATAATATCTGTATATTATTATACATATATAATAATAATCTGCTTCTAAATATTTTGGCAGGTGTCTTCTAAAAATGAGTACATTTTTTACCTAACCACAATACTGCTATCACACTTAAGAAATTTAATTATGATTACTTATTATCCAATATTCACACCATATCCATATTTCTCCAATTATTCAGAAATGTCTTACATAGTGAACTTTTTAGAACTAGGATCCAGTTGAGATTGATACACTAAACTTAACTGTCAATGCTATTGGAAATCCACTGGCATAAAACAGCCTCTTTCCTGTGCTATGAAGCCTTTGGGTCAGGGATTCAGACAAGGCACAGAGCAGACAGCCTGTCTCTGCTGTGTGATACCAGGACCTTGGGTAGGAAGATTCGACAGCTGGGGTGACTGAGAATGGCTAGGGCTAGAATCATCTGGGAGATCCTTTCCTTGGGACTGGGCTCCTGGAGGGAGTGTCATGATGGGAGGGTGGGGGGCACCAGAGAGCAAGTGTTTCAGGAGGACAAAGTCAAAGGTGCAAAGCTTCTGATCCCACCTTGGATATTACTCCATATTACTACCACCAAGACCCCACAGACCCACAGAGGGGAACATAGGTTTGTCTTGGTGGGTGAGTGTTAGGTCACAGTGCAAAGGGGATGTGAAATTACAGAAGCTGTTGAAGATGTCTTTATAAAAATTTGGTTGGCTATGATGTATCGTTAGTCTTTTTTTTTTAAGATTTTAATTTTAGAGAAAGAGGAAGGGAGGGAGAAAGGGAGAGAAACATAGGTGTGCAAGAGATACATTGATTGGTTGCCTCTCACATGCCCCCAAATGGGGACCTGGCCAGCAATCCAGGCATGTGCACTGACTGGGAATCAAATTAGTGACTTTGGTTTGCAGGCCAGGTCTCAGTCCACTGAGCCATACCAGCCAGGGCCATTCTTTTTAATCTAGAACACATATTGTCCCAAATGATGCTGGAATTTTTAAGAGATATGGCAGTTGATTTGTTTTTGGCATCTATATAATGGATCTGTCCATCTGTTTTCTAATAGCATTGCTCAATCTAGTCCTTTGTCCCTTGTTTTTCTTAAAAACTGCAAAATACCCATGTGCTTAGGAAACAGCTGCTAACATCTCATTTTCTCCTCTTCACTATAACCCAGACGATTGCAAGTTAAAACTAAAGAGGTGATTAACAGAAATACCAAGAGGCAGTTAGCCTCCCACACTTCCCAATGTGGTACCCTGAGGAGGACACAGCAGCACCTGAGCAGTCTTCTGCTCAGAACACATTGCCTGAGTCTAATCATAAGGGAGCATCAGACAAACCCCAAATAAGGAACTATTAAAGAGGGG